GGTAATTAGGACATAATTTCATGAAAGTGGTTCAGCACAACATCCTCTATCGAAGGCCTCGGTGAGGAAGTAGCTCAGGTTTAACTCAGCAACACACTTACCGCTTACATAAGGCACATTTCCAACACTTTGAGACTCATCTCAGCCAGAAAAAAACTGCTATGGAAAATTCCAATGACTTTTCTCTTCGATCGACGTCAATTTAATCATGTTTCTGCCAAAGCTCTTTTTCATGGGGCGGTCATCTTGTTATACGCAATGAGGGATGTACAGCGGCAAAACTAGAGAATCACCTCAAGTTTATTCCGTAACGAAAATGTGGAATCAATTAGGTAATGAAGCTATGTGCAAAGATACAAGTTGTAATAAATATAACGATCAAACCAACTAAAGGCACACTAATTTTATTCAGTCGTTGTATTTTTAGTTTTCCTTTGTTTACCGTTGCCATGGCATCGCATAGTTAAGGTGCAATAGCGTGTTATAAAGAAGATGTACGTGGTAAACAGGTTGGTTGACTGATGATACTATGTCTTGATAAACTAGGACAAATAATTTAAATGAATTGAATTTATTAACTTTTTTTTAAAATTTTAATAAATTGCGGTTTCTATGGAAACCGACGTAATTCAACTTGCACTATATCTGAAATTGCTTGTATTGGTGACTACTATCAGTGTGCCAAATTTCATGCTTGTATCTAAAAGTGCACAATTCAGTTAAAATTTCTAGCTAAGCCGCCAGACTATAAACAGGTCAGCAGAAAACTTTGTTGACAACAGAATGCCATAAGTATACAGCTAATTCGAAAAAAGGTTGTCGGAAAAAATGCACTCGACAATCCCGAAAGGTATTATGGGCGGTTTTGAGTTCGCTGTTCTTCAAAGAAATTTGAAAAGAATGGCACGAGAGGCCATGGACATATGTTTGCGAGTGCTGAAGAGGAAGGCAACAAAAAGTAGGTTCAACAGCTACAGTGTCAGGAACATTGCTTTTCCGACAACCTTTGTAGAAATAGCTGTATAAGCCTGAAATTTAAGCTCCCCGGTCAATTGTTTTATGCGGAGATGGGTCGTACTGGAGGCAAAGTTTTTTTCCAATCACATGCTTCAGTCACTGCATCCATGTTCTACTGACGAAAGTACAGTTACCATAAAGTTACCATTAAAAAATGCTCCAATTGATCAACGATAGATAATTGAAATTTCTATCGCTACTTTCTCCTTCTCCTTGTAGGCCATCCTTCTTATTCTTCGTTAGAACTGGTCATTTCTCATAACAAATTACAGAAAAACAAGCAAGAAAGGTTACCTGACAGAGAGTAAATTTTGCGGGAACGCGCATTGCCTTGATCTTTTGTCCGAATATCACTTGTTAATGTAAACACTACTGTCCTTGTTCCTACTGAAGAAAGCGTCGTGGGCGGGATCACATTGCCCGATCGTGAGTTCGCGAGTAAGGAATTCCCCCATTCTTCTTGTCGCTTTATAGCCAAATTCATTTCACGGGTGCTTTTGTGGTCCTTGTTAGCAGTCGTGCGCAACAAACTTCGTCAGCTAAGAAGACTACTAGTATAATTAAAATCAAAGTGAATCAATCAAGTGAAGCCCACTTTTTTCTGGTGATATCAGGGGGATTTTTCATTGAGAAGCACTTGCCAAATTCCCCCACCCCTGGGGGAAATTGTTAACTTTGCACCGCCCATTTTTGAATCCCGCTAGTTGGCCTGGAGTCCTACTCCACGCCCCCAGGGGTAAGCCGATGACATGCGCATTACGGTTATATAATCATCATGCATGTATGAGTTACAGAAAACAATTACCAGTTGCATTACCTGGTCACGGCTCTGCCACTCGAAAATCGCACGATTCCGAAAAAATCTTAAATCTTCAAAAGACAATTATTCAGCGACCTAAAATGTAAAGCAAGTCTTTCGCAAAAGGGACAAATAGCCAACAATCTTACGCTAAGATATTAACTACAAATATTGATACCTAACTAAGTTATTAATTTCTATTCTTCTTACAACTACCTAGTTAGTACTTTGTTTCAGTATTGCACGTTTTAACTGCAATAACCTTTTTTGTCTGGATGTAAATTGTATTCTCCACTATTCATACCTCACTATTATGTAATTACGTATTCTTTACTATGTATTCTTTACTACGAATACCAGACTAAAAAATATTACAAATTAGTTTAGGTAATAGGACTGAGTTGAGTACTACTCAAGGAGTAATCAGGCGAGTAATTTAAAAGTACGAGCCCGAATAACAGCAGGAAGTTCCTACAAACTGCGAATTTTCAATCATATTGCATACCGTTCATTTTACAATTAAGAAATTGGATCGAATTCCTTCAATTCATCGATTATCTCCTGCATGGTTGGTCTCGCCCCAGGCTCTCTTTGCATGCATTGCCGCACCAGACCACGAAACACACTGTTCGTTACAAGCACCACTTGTTCGTTACGCCTCTGAGGATCTGGAAGTTGTCGGATGCACATTTCGTAAAGAAGAGCACCAAAGCTGTAGACATCAACCTAACAACGATAAAACATAATTTGAGGAAGTCAATATTGTTTTAAAAAATGCAATTCATTTGAGTGTCAAGGTATTTAGCACGAAAGCACTTATTCGGGACCCTATTCTCAGTTATTTTAAGACCCTGAGTATTAGTCCGACCCCGGGAATCGAACTCGCGACCTTACGCTCTGCAGTCAAGCGCTCTACCGACTGAGCTAATCCTGCCGCGGTTGGTAAACATCCTACGAGGTTTGGTTTTTATTGCATGCGTCCCAGACGTAATCTAACCCCGGTTATTAATGTCTGCGAAGCAGCGCCGATAGGCCTTATTCAGTTTTGTTCTGGACCCCTCTGGACTCAACGAATTACTGGAAGTGTGAAGTTTTAAGTTTGAAGTTTGAAGTTTGAAGTTTGAAGTTTATTAATTCATAAATGTACATAGCAGTTCGAAAGCTAAATTACTTATTTACGTTACAAAAGTTACATTATAGATCTAAACATTAACTAATCTATCTTAGTTGAAAGGAATAAAAATGCTAACAAGAGATGAGATGCTAAAAAAAGTTATCGAAATACAAGCTGAGAAATTCGAAAACTCTAACCTACAAGTTAGTTGCTTTAAGACATGAAAAGATAATAAAGCTATTCTTAAAACGGTCGGTTTTAAAACGTGGCATGTTAAAACGTCGCGCGCGCCTTAATAGGCTAATTTAGCATCAGAACGGGAACGTCTGTTGACTACTGGGCGCGCAAATCAAACAACTGGATTGACCAATGGCAGAGCGGCAAATTGGGTACCGGTAGTCGAGTTTACACCTTTCTGCGCGCTTACCCGTCGTCAAATGAAGTTTCCGTTCTGTTGTTAAATCAGCCTATTGAATTAGTAGATTCGTGCAGCGCAGGTAATAACTTATAAAGGCGGTGATTGTTGTCATTTACAATTGTGTGAAAAAGTGACTCACATATTTCGTCATGGTGGGTTCCTAATTCAATCCTTAAAGTTCATAATAACAAGAGCCTCATGATAAATAACACCGAGGCAGATGATGGACATTGCTCTCTTCTGTATATCACGTTCCAATTTTTGAATTAAACATTTAGGCAAACTGAAGTGAAAGGCCAGTATTGCAGTAGAAGAGCCCTAAATCAGTGCGAGTATCCTTAGCTCTCTTAAGTTGTACCAAAAAATATATTCTCTTAGAGGCCTTCTTAAGAATTTCATTAATTTGGATATTCCAGGTCAGATATTCCAGGTGTTTCGAATTTCCTTACAAAATGATTGGTAAATATGGCAATGGCGCGTACTAAAATCCTGGTACATGTATAGGTGGAGGCCTAGAACAAATGAGAATTTGGGCGCTGTTTCGCAGACGTTACTTACCGGGGTTTGGTTACGTTACGTCTGCGAACCAGGCTAGATTTTGATTGCAGGGACATTATTCGGGGCACTTGTTCACCCCAGCTGAACTGAGTCCGCTGAAACCCAAACCGGAAAATTACAGTTGCCAATAAACACTGAGTTCCATTTAGAGGTACAAAAGCTCTTTAATATGAGAATCTATAAGCAGAATTTAGAGCAAAAATAGCGATTATACGAGGACCGTAGGCAGAGAGAAAAAAAGCCTTTTAAAATAACATTTTTCCAACCTTTATCAAAAGGTGTTTTATGTCTGTATACACCAATGCATTCTTACGGGGACAACTTTTAGGCGTCTCGTTATTTATATCATGATCTACATGTTGTAGTGACTAAACGTCTTAAAGCTGCACCAGAACCAATTCACTGATGAGATGGTCTAAATGAGGTTGACTGATAACATACAAGGGTAGGGAGGGGGGAGAATTCGAGCGCGCGAAAATGCGGTCAGAGTCCGAGGGAGCTCATAGAAGGGATGATTGAAATTTCCCCGTTAAAGAGCACAATTAAGACCAGATTTCGGTGCACACCGATGGATTTGGTTAATTTTAAACAATGAGCTAAATATGCGCGTTGTCGCAAAATCACCGCCAAAAATGGCAGATATTTGACTAATTTTGAACAGATATACATGTATCTTAAAAAACGAGAAATTCAACAAGACACTTTGCAATAAAATTGTCCGTTGCATAACTCAAGAGGCTAAACAGGCACAACAGTTTTTCTACCGGTTGAAAAAAAAACAACAAAACATAACACTGTACCATTAAAAGGCCACGATGCATGATACGATGCATGGGTAAGGGTCACTTAATTCTTATGTTAATGTTAACAGCCGTGAACAGCCTTGAACAGTGACTAAAACTTACCTTGACTGTTTGGTTTGATGTAAGTGCTTCAGGTGCGCTGTAAATCATAGCTCCAGGAGCCACTGTCATGGTCTGCTGCATGAAATTAGCAGTGCCATAATCTGACACTTTGCCTCTCCATTGGTCACCCTGTCGCCATAGCAACACATTCGCACTGCTGACGTCACGGTGAATGATAGGCTCTGGTTTCTATCGATGAAGGTAGTTCAGGGCACGTGCTACATCCAGAGAAATAACTGCTATTTCTGTCTCGGAGAGTTGCCGCTGCTCCAACAAAGTGCGAAGACTTTTCTCCATCAGCTCAGTCACAAACAGAGGAGTTCCCTCATCTTTCGTGGCGCCGATGAACTGTAGTAAGTGAGGATGGCGGCATTTAGAAGCGATATTCATTTCTCTTTCAAACAGGTTTATATTATGAGGAGAAAGAATCAACTCATGGATCTGTTTCACTGCTACAGTACAGCCACAATACGTTCCCTCGTTGACAATTCCCCATCCTCCCCTCCCAAGGTATTTCTCTGTGATTTGAATTTCGTCCCGGGGAATAACCCAGTCACGTGTTTCTTGGTTCCGCAATTGATTTATTGTTTCCTGTGCTGTTGAAAGACTTAACTGTAGTTCAGAAACTTGTCCTCGGCAATTGGTCAACTGCTGTCCTATCTCCCTCAGTTTCCGCTGCAACTCCACCAGCTGCCTCTGGGAATTTTCTTCACGTTGTTGAAACTCCGTCAGCTGCCCCTGAGAATTTTCTTCTTGTTGAAACCCCCTCACGTTGTTTTCTTCACGAAACTCCCTCAGCTGCCTTTGAGAAATTTTCTCGTTCCTGAAGCTCTCTCAACAGCCGCTGCATATTTTGTTCACGTTGTTGAAACTCCATCAGTTGCCTTTGAGAATTTTTTTCTCGTTCCTGAAGCTCTCTCAACAGCCGCTGCATATATTGTTCATGTTACTCAATATCTGTTAGCTGGCTTTGAGAGTCCTGATACCGTTCTTTAACCACTCTGAGTTTCCTTTGTAAATCCTGTTCGCGTTGCTGCATCTCCCGTATCTGTCTCTGGAAGTTTTCTTCACGTCGCTGAAAATCCCTCCACTGACTTTCTAATTCTGATGTTCGCCTTGGGGAATTTGCTTTGCGTAGATTTTGCATTTTTTCTGAAAAGATAATTCGTGATCAAAACAAAACAAGGGAATCATGAAAATCACCCAAGCAACATGGGTGAACTGATTAAGTGTCAACTAAAAAAGAAAAATTCAAAATTTTGACCTCAAAGAAAATTTTGAATGCACTGCGTTTCTCTCTTGAAACTGAGCGACACTTAAGCATAAATGATATACTGATGAAGAAGATGAGATTCAGAATTCCGTTTCGCTCCGATTGTCACTTAATATTGCTTGCTTGTAAACTCAAACAAAATATTGAAGAGTATGTCCAAGAATAGCCCCTTCTTTGAACGAGCTCTCATCATTTTTTTTTTTTTTTCGTTCAGATGAACCTTAAATCAGTCGATTTGATATCAAAACGTTTCGACACGATCCAGTCGAAATTGAAATCACGCTCGCATTTGTTACTCTAACTGCTTATCCCATAAGACGTTGCATCTTTTACCGCACGGGGGAAACAGTTTTTATCAATTGCCAATCTTCCTACTTCTGTTAGTGACATGTCCCCCTCCCGTCTGCTTTATCGGTCTTCCTTTTCTCCTTTTTCCATCTTTCTTTCCCTCCAAGATGATCTTTCCCAAGCCTAATATAATTTCTTTACATTGGCCAAAATACTTCAGCTTTTTGTTTCTTTTAAAAAGAGTAACTTACTAAGAGTTCAAAAAACAATACACTAAATCTGGAGTGCAAAGACATCCGTGATGAGTTTCAAGAAAACCTGAATTTTTTCCATATAAATTTTCTGTAATTTTGATACTGTGGAATTACAGAAAATGTATGGAAAAAATCAAGCATCAAATGCATGAATTCAGGAAGAATTAGTGGGCTTTGAATTCCAATACAAATCTTTGAATTTCCCTCCATCTTGCCCTGATTACCTATGATGCAACTATTGAGCGTGAGCTCCTCTATACGAGCCCACATCGCTGAGGTCTGTCTTTTGTAACGTCATACTAGATTAAATTTTTGTAAGTGCATTTTCTGTTCTGCACGATGAGGACTAAGGATGTGCTGCGAGATTTGCTATTGCTATTAAATTTGCATTTGCATCTCAGTATTTGTGATTTGCTCGTAGTAATAAGCTTATGTGTTACATTAGAAAACTATTTCAGTGAAAATTCTCGTGATATGTGTAATAAACAGTTCACGTTATAGAAAGTCCTTTGTACGGGGTCATATTCACGACTTGTTTGTGTCAAAAGCCCTCCCTAGCTCGTATCTTGCTCGTTCGGGTTTTGACACAAACAGCTCGTGAATATAAAAAATAGAAATAACAAAGCCAAGAAATAATCTGCCTCCGGCCGAACGTGAGGCTCTGAGAGCCCTAAAACGTGACACTGAAATAAACCTTAAAAAGGCCGATAAAGGAACAACAACCGTAGTCATGAACACACAAGACAAAATTAAAGAAGGCCAAATTCTACTAGACAACAAAGACAACTACAAGCCTCTTGCATCACCCGTGGTCACTGAGACAAACCATAAAGTTAAACAACTTATTGCAGACCTCCACAACGGGGATCACATAGACGACATGACTAAAAAATGGCTTTGTCAAACACCAAATCCGCCTCGAATTCCAGAATTTTACACCCTCACTAAGATACACAAGCCGTCCCCGGTCGGCAGACCGATAGTATCGTGGTGTGATGGCCCAACAGAGAAATTATCATCATTTGTCGACAAACCCTTCAGCCGATAGCACAACAACAAAAAGTCTTATCTAAAGATACTACCGACTTCGTCAATTTCATAGAAAATACGAAAGTCCCAGTGGACGTCATACTTGTTTCAATGGACGTTACGAGCTTGTATACAAATATACCGCAAGAGGAGGAATAGACACGGTATGCAGAGCATACAGAAATATTCTATAGAAACGAACCTCCTATCCCTACACAACTACTAAAACGAGCGCTCAGGCTAATTCTCCAAGAAAACTCTTTCCAGTTTAATGGAAAAAACTACCTTCAAACACATGGTACGGCCATGGGCACGAAAATGGCAGTCGCCTTTTCTAATATATTCATGAACAAGGTAGAGACGGAAATCCTTAGCCGAAGCCTTTTCAAACCGCTCGTTTGGAAACGTTACATAGACGACATCTTCTCGCTCTGAACTACAAACAGAGCCAGAATAGAACATTTCATTGAACAAGCAAACAATCATCACCCTACGATCAAATTTACGGCTGAAATTTCCGTTAAGGAAACAACATTCCTGGACACCTACATCTACAAAGGGGAAAGATTCGAAAGAGACGCAATCCTTGATGTGCGTACTCATTTCAAACCAACTGAGACATTTCAGTATACCCATTTTGCTTCCTGTCACCCGCAAGGAGTTAAAAAAGGCTTCATTAAAGGGGAAGCCCTCCGACTCCTCAGACCAAACTCTTCCGAACTAATATTCGAAGAGAAAATTACAAATTTCAAAGCGCATCTGCTACAGAGGGGTTACCCAGAGGATCTTATTAACACAACCCTCTCAGAGGTGAACTTCAAAGACAGGAAACTAGCCCTTCAACAGAAACCAAAGACAAACCAACGAATATCTTGCCTTTTGTCACACAATACCAACCATCAGTGCCAAACCTAACGCAAATTCTCATGAGAAACTGGCATTTAATAGAACAACAACCATTACTGAGCGAAATCTACAAAAAACCGCCCCTCGTATCTTATAAAAGAGGGCGGTCGCTCAAAGACATACTCGTGAGAGCCAAACTATAGAAAGGCTATTTTAAACACGCGCTGGGGAGTCGTGTAGGCCTGTCAACCCCATTTTACACTATGTGTAATAAACAGTTCACGTTATAGAAAGTCCTTTGTACGGGGTCATATTCACGACTTGTTTGTGTCAAAAGCCCTCCCTAGCTCGTATCTTGCTCGTTCGGGTTTTGACACAAACAGCTCGTGAATATAACCCCGTACAAAGCACTTTCTATGACGTAAACTACATTTTTGATAAGAAAACTACTGAGGACCACTCAGGGTCAGAGGGAAATTTTGGCTGCGGAACCGCCAGCGCGAGGGAAGAATGAGGCGAGGAAGCAATTAACATCAATCGGTTTCTGAATTACAGACTAATGCAGTTGACTCAAAGCTTTCATTTAGTCTTAAATATGATCGGATTTTTTTTACTCCAAATCACTAGAATGGGGGCCAGCCGGATATCATGCTCTACTGGCGTTGTTGCTTTTACGAAGATCAATGTTGTTCTTGTAGTCTACTCCTCTTGACACTATTAACAGCAAACAATGTTTTCACGCGAAGATTCCCGGTAGACAAAATTTATAAGCGTTAATGTATATGTATGGATATTTCACTCATCAATTATAAATATTTCAGCCCAGCAATCCATACAAATGAACGGGTTTAACCATATGCTTCTCAATTACAAAACACCAAACTAACTACTCTAGCCATAAGCTTGAGCTACCTGTTTTTATAAACCTCAGTACATACGGTAAGTTTAACCTTATTCCTCTTATTATTCAAAAACCAAAACCAAACTAACTTTAAAAGCTACCCTCACCATATTAACCTTAATCTGCTTGTTTCCATAAAAATACATTTGTACAGAGGTTCAACCATCTACCTCTTTATTCCAAAACCAAAACTTAAACAAAATTTTGGAAATTACTTTGAACACTTTCACCTTTGACTGGGACGGGCATCTTTTCAATAAAAAGCTGAAGCTCATTTGGATCAGCATCTTTTAGTTGAACAGTTTGTCCTTCGTGACCCCACCAGTCTTTTAGTTCTTTAATGGTAACTGTATCCTTGGTGACCTTCATTGTAGTTTCAGGCATAATTACGAACTGAAAAAAGTAAGGAGAGGTCACGTTAGTATAGGATTTACTTCCTTGAAATACGTACTGTGGTCGATTAATAGAGATAAACCAATAAATTAAGAGGTCAATAAACTGTATATTACACCGATATCCGGCAGTATAATCGTCATCCGCGATCAAAGTTCACCCAAAAGTCTTGCGCAAAGTACAGCACAGCTTTTTTAGTTTCCTCAACGACATGGAACTTAATCACAGTACAGAGTAACGGTTGCATGTTAATCGTTAACAAACATTGCTCAATTTTTACAAACCTCTATGAAAAGCGGGCACTCGGGAAGGTCCCGAAGGTGTCCGCTGAATACCCAAAACTTAGCTAAATTTTTTACTGGGTATGTGCCAGTCTTGTCTTGCCTCTCAGAGTCCCTACCCCATTATATTCTATTCTGTGACCAATTGCAGACCCCATCTTAGTCACCTTTTGCAAAATATGTAATTTTCGCGATCCAGTCACTTTCTGTTTTTATGAATTGAACCATTATTTCAACTGAATGAAGAAGACTTTACTTTTCACCTACAGTACAAACATTCTGGTACGTTTGCTAACTGTAAATATGAAGAACTGTCTTACCCCAAAAACTCCGAAAATGTGCGACCCCATTCTAGTAACTCTATTGAAAATGCGACCCCATTATAGGCAATCCAGTCATCAAAATGCGACCCCATCCAGCGGCACATTCCCATTAGCCTCTCACCTCTTACTCAAGAAAGTAACCCCCTGGGGCTTAATAGAGGTTTCACTGTACCTCCTCACGGAACTTTATGATAAAGTAACACAATCTCCCAAATTAAAAATAGCAATCACATGATTTATATGATAACATAACGCTGTTTTTATATCTCACAGCAACCTTATTTCCGCTTTTTTGCCAGTTGTTGTAATCAAACAGTCAATCGTTGATATTACCTGATGAGTGTGGTCATCTTTTGGCCACACGAAAGAGAGCTGTAGTAATAAAACGATGCACTACCTCTGAAGTCTTGAACCAGTTTATTATAATTGTATTGTT